GGACGGGTACACGAGCTCGACGCGCGCGTCCGGAAGGTTGCCGTAGAGCGTGAGGCGGCCGATGCGCCGGAGGAAGACGCCTTGCACGTTGAACATGGTCATGGCCAGCGTCGACTGCTTGTCGTGCATGATGACTTGACCCGTCACGTATGCCACGTCGTCGTTCATCTCGGCGACCGGCGTCGCCTTGATCGTGAGGACGAGCCAGAAGACACCACCCGGCGAGAAGGACGCGACGTCGGCCGTGTACGGGTTGAGGTTGGCGTCGTACTGCGCGTACGGCTGGATCTGGGGATGCACGCGGCGCCCGACTTCGTTGGCCGCGGCTTGCGTCTTGTAGTCGGCGGCCTGCAACGGCGCCCAGAGCCCCGAGTAGATGCCCGAGACGTTTTCGCTCTTGTTCATTTGCTACATATAGGATATAAGTCGGCGCAGGACAGACGGCAGCGTCGTACGCCGAGTGGCTGGACGGCCGCCATCTCGAGGCCCAAGAGATGCTGGAAATAGGCGATTTGGGTCGCACGCTCCGTGTCATTGTCCGTGTACGGCCACTAGCATACGCGTGAGCTGCTGTAGCATCGGCGAGAGGAGGCGACCTGCGTGTTCTGGTGCGACGCCGTCTTCTTGGCGAAGCGCTGGCTGCGGTTCGTGCCATCGAGAAAGAGGATGAAGAAGCAGACGAAGATGGTCGTGCTAAGGAGCCGCTGGAGCCGGCCGCGCTCGATGTCCATCTGGCTCTCTTGCTCTTCGCGGTTGAGGACGTGCATGTTGCCCGGGCCATTGAGCGTCCCGCCTGGCGAGGCCGTGTACAGGAGCACGACGCCGTCCCGGTTCGCCATGGACCCGAACTTCGTTTCTATTCCGTCCGGATACACAACCCGAACGCAATCGAACGCGCTCGGGTGTATCCGGTTACTGGCCAAATGGGTTGAACGGTTTAACGGCAGGTACGAATACGTTAAACGAAGACGACGTAAGACTAGACCCACGCATCACTGCGACCGCCCCTACCTCGCCATACCTCAATTGTCGATGGGCCGGGTCTGTCTTTGGTTTGCAAGCAGGGCGCCCAGCCAGGACGCCCAGAAGTGTGTTGCTGCTTGGTCCAAATAAGGATATATCCTCATCCTGTGGACCCTAATTAGGATATTGCCTTCATCCGAGCTCGATTTCCCACACCGTTTCCCACACACCACGCTCCCCCACACAAAAAACACGACGTGCATTTTATTCTATTGTGTGCATCTTATTAGAGTACAGTAAACACCAATCGGACTTCTAGGAGCCCCAAAACGGACTAGACGCGTCGTTGCACGAGATCAGAAATCCATGAACAGTGTACAAAGACGATATTGTATAGTGACACGACCATAAACCAACAAAACCACCATTGCAAGAGCTCTATTCGAGCATCGGGATCGCGTGGAAGAAGCGGCTGGGCGTCTCCGCGTCGTGTGGCGCGCGGTGGAGCACATACATGCGCCATTTCTTGATATCAAAGAGGTAAATACCACCAGCGTGCTCGATCGAGATGATACCGGCCATGAGCGCCGACGGTTTGTCCACAAAGAGCACTCCTTTGTGCGACCAGTCGTCCAGCACGAGCATGTACTTTGCCGGCGCAGAGAGCAAGAGTGACGGGACGTCGATCGACAAGCCGCGCTTGAGCACATGTTTTTCAAACAGAAAGCACGAAATGATCGCGAGGATGCAAATGAGCACCGAGATGCTGATCCGGTTGACAAAGCCGACTTCTACAAACGCGCTGTGGCAGCGCAAGCCAACATCCATGTCAATCGCCACACAGCGCCGGTCCGTGTAGGCCACGTGCACACAGGGCTCGATCGCGGTCCAGACAATCATGATAAACCATGTCGAGAGCGAGCTAAGGAGTGCATACGTCGAGGTGAACTCTTGCGAAATGAAGCTAAAGCTGTCGTTGAAGACGTAGATGAGCCAGTTGAGCTCGCCCGCGGCCAGCACC